CGTAGTTTACTTAATTCATGTCTAAATAGGTCTTTAGTCAAATCTAAACTGGTTTCTAGTCTTAATTAAAGTTGGTAACTACTTAATATTAGATAATAATGTGAAATAAAAAAAAATTAACAATTATTTATTAGCATGACAATTGAACAAATCTAAACTTCTAATCCATACAATTCGTAATATAAGACTCCTAATCTAGCCCTACAATATCCCACTACAACTATTACGATTCAATCCCACTCGGATCGATTATATAAATCACATTCAAACATATTTTATATTAATCAAATACAATTTTTTAATATGAGTATTATTATGAGATTATAAGCGAATAAAATCAAAACCTACCACCTCATTCTCTCGATTGTTTGCTAGATTTTTTCTATATAGTTATTATTGAATCTTTTTATTAATTTATTGATGAATCTTTTTATTGTGTGCGCTAGTATGGATTTGTAAATTTGAGGAAAAACATTTTATTGTTTCTTCTCATGGTTCATCTTATACCATCACAGAGAGAAGAACAACAAGTAAAAGGTCACGCCCAGTGTATAAATTGTTTAGCATTTGGTTTGTTAATCTATGTCTAAATAGGTTTTGCCAAAATTTACGTAGGTTTTCTAATCCTAGTTAAAGTGGGTTCTACACTGTTATAAATATAGGTACTATAATAAAATGAGTGAATCAAAACTTCTTCTCCAAATCAAAACATCTTCTCTCCCTTTCTGTACATTTCATCTATAAACAACCATCATGGATAGAAGAATAACGAGCAACTTGCCACGACCAGTGTGGAAAATTTACAGGGTTATTAGGGGCTATTTGGGATGGGTGACAGCAGTTGCAATGGATCGTAGTAATAATTAGTTCTGTACAGGATCGGCAAATCAGACAATCAAGATATTGGATTTAGCAAGTGGACAACGGAAGTTCCATACTTTTTTGAAGTTCAACCTTCCAAGAGGAGATTTTTTTGCATAATATGGTATCCCAAGTGAAGACCGTAATCAACATCATGGCGGTAAATGATGAAGGTGTAATGGCCACAGGAGGTGACAACGGAAGCTTATGCATAGGCGGACCTACACCAGACGGGTCACGTGAACCCGTTAATCTCGACAAAAACTTTGTGTATATATTCTATGTATAGCTATATATACCCCTTAAATATTTTTCTTACGCCTGGAGCAATGGTCCACCATAAGTTACTATTTATTAGTCACTAGTCAACAGTTGACTAATATATAATTTTTTATTATACCTTTTCTTAATTTAATTATATTTTAGTAGTTATACATAATAGTCAACTTTATTATTTAATTCTTCTCCAAAATTCTACCCCAATCAAAATCCCCAAACGTTAAGTCCCTAAAGCCTAAACCCTTCTTCAGTTCTTCACTTCTTCCTCAATCAAAACTCAAAAGCTCCCGTTAAATCATCCCTCAGACCTTCACTTCTCGCTCCAAAATAGAGAACCCTTCTTCCTCAATCTCAATTCCTCTCATTAATTTGAAAAAGTAGCAGGCATCGAATCTCTGGTTATTGCTTCTCTTACTTTGAAACTTATTTTTTATTTATAAATTATAAGAGCATGGAGAATTGGAGATGGATGTTATATAATTTTGTTTAAGTTTAAAATTTTTGGTTTAAGAATCGCCCTCCTTCTTAAAGAATCTTAATATTTGTAAGAAAAGGATTGTTTCTATTGCCTCAACCATGTACAATTTATATAGTAAATTCAGAAGGGTTCAATCTAAATAGATAAATACAACAGAGATATTCACAAGAGTTTGAGTGTGACTATGACTAGGACTCTAGCTAGTATAGCTTGAGGTAAATGGATTACGTTGATGAGAAAGATATGTTAGGATTTGGATTATCCTTAGCATGCCCCCTCAAGATGGGCTCAATCTCATTTAGGCCAATCTTGTGAATGAATTGTCCAAATGATCGTTTAGGCAGTGCCTTTGTCAAAGCATCAGCAAGTTGACTCCTAGTAGGTATGTGACTTACTGAAAGCTCATTTCTTTCTACTTGGTCGCGGACGAAGTGGAAATCAATGGCCACATGCTTCATTCGACTGTGAAAGACTGGATTTTAACTTAAATAGGTAGCACCAATATTGTCACAGAGTACCTTCGGAGGGTTGGACATGGAAACATGCAATTCCTTCGGTAAGTTTGTGATCCAATTAAGCTCAGCTACAACAGAAGCAACAACCCTATATTCTGCTTCAGTAGACGATCTAGCAATTATGCGTTGCTTTTTGGAGCACAAACTTATTGGATTATTGCCAAAAAGTATAACATAAGCAGAAGTTGAGTGCCTGGTGTCTGGTATACCACCCCAATCAGCATCTGAGTAAGCTAGCAACTTGAAAGAAGTGGCAGGCGTAAAGTGAAGACCATAAGTAATGGTACTCTTCATGTAGCGTAGAAGTCTCTTGGCCGCTTGCCAATGCTTCAGGCTTGGTCGATGCTGAAACTGAGCAAGTTTGTTCACTGCAAAACATATATCTGGACGAGTAAATGTTAGTTATTGTAAGGAACCAATAATCTGTCTGTATAACTTGGCATCTGCAGATGATGATCCATCATCAAGTGAAAAAGGTTCATTGGTTGACATCGGAGTGCTAACACTATTCGCATCGTGCATGCCGAATCTTTCCAGAAGATCAGCGATGATGCTGCTTTGGGTGAGAACCAAACCACGAGCATGCTGCAAGACTTCAACACCAAGGAAAAAATGTAAAGAACCAAGATCTTTGATGGAAAACCGGTTACCTAGTAGTTTGATGGTACTTTGAACATGAGAAGAGTTAGAACCAGTGACGATGATATCATCGACATAGACCATCACAAAGAGTAATGAGGTGGTAGTACATTTTAGGAATACAAAGTCATCAGATTTAGCCCTTTGAAAACCAAATGACAGAAGGTATTGTTTGAGATCGTTGTACCATGCCCTAGGTGCTTGACGAAGGCCATATATTGACTTATGAAGCTTGCATACATGTTGTGGAAATTTAGGATCCCTAAAATCGGGTGGTTGATTCATGTATACAACTTCATAAAGTGTACCTTGTAAGAAGGCATTGTTCACATCTAATTGTCGCAAGGGCCACTTAAACAATACCGCAAACTCAAGGATTAAACATATTGTTGTATGTTTGATCATATGACTAAAAGTGGAATGAAAGTCTACCCTAGGTCGTTGATGAAAACCCTTTGCAACTAATCTCGCTTTGTAGTGATCCACAGACCCATCAAGTTTATGCTTGACACGATAAACCCACTTGCAACCAACTACATTTTGAGATGCAGATGGGGGAACCAAAGTCCAGGTGGAATTTCTCATAAGGACAGTAAATTCATCCTTCATGGCTGTTTTCCATTCAGGATACTTGTTTGCTTGGGCAAAAGTTATCGGAGCAAGAGGAAGCGATTTGGTGGAAGAGATAGCAAGAAAGTCAAAGACAACTTTTGGTTTGAAGATATTGTTCTGGGATCTCGTGACCATAGAGTGAGTAGGAGCGGGTGGCAAAGGTTGTGGTGGAGGCAAAGGATATTGTGCAACATGAGACATAGTGTTGGGCATGCTTGTAGTAGAGGGTGGGGGTGAATTAGCTGAGGTGCTTACAGCAGTACTTGGTGACACATCCTCTGCGGTAGTTGGAGTTGCAGTGATCTCTTGAGTAGTCCTTGGGACAACCATGTCGATGTCTTGAGGTTTAGGAGGTGGAATGCATGATTCATTGGTATAAGGTAGGGAAATTGAGGAGGAGGAAGCTATTGGACAGTGCCAAGACTCCAAGTTGGAGGTTGAAGCGCGATCAAGGGAAGAAAAGTTCAACTTGAATGAAAAAACATGTTCAACAAAGATAACATGTCGGGAGAGAAAAGTTTTTGAGGTCAAGATATCCAGGCAAGAAAAACTGTTAGTGACAGAGGAGTACCCCATAAAGACACAAGGTTTTGATTTTGTGTCAAGTTTGGAGCTAGAGTAAGGCTTAAGCCAAGGATAGCAAAGGCAACCAAAAATCCGAAGCTTGTGATGATTAGGTGTGGTATTGAACAAACACTGAAATAGTGATTTTAAGTTGAGCAAAGGTATTGGTAGTCGATTAATGAGGAATACAGTTTGGAATGCAATGGACCAAAATTTGAGTGGTACCGAGGCATGATGAAGTAAGGTCAGGGCAGTGTCAACGATATGTCTATATTTTCTTTCAGCAGTTCCAAATATTTGAGGAGTATATGGAGGACTCATGAGATGTTGAATGCCCATTTCCAGTAAGAGAGATTTAAGACCAATATATTCACCTCCTACATCTGTATATAGTATCTTGATGGATGCACTAAACTGATTATGAATCATTCGAGTGAAGTTAACAAAAATACTTTTAACATCTGCTTTATTTTTTAGCAGAAACAACCAGGTATACTTAGTATAGTGATAAACAAAGATAACATAGAATCGAAAGTTGTCAAATGAGGGAATTCGAGATGGACCACAAACATCTCAATAAATAACATCAAATGGCTTAGAACTAGAAATAGAATTGTCACTGAATGGTAAACGATGACTTTTATTACATAGACATGAATTGAAAAAGGTAAAAGGAGCATTAATTGACACTAGAAGCTTTAATGAGGACACACATGCTTTAGTGATACGAGGCTGAGGGTGGCCAAGATGAGCATGCCAAAGTTGGCTTGTAGAGAAGGGGGTGAGACACCGGTTGGTGGCCATTTGTAGAGATCACCTTTACTCCGACCTTGCAGAAGACATGCCCCCGTGCTCGAATCCTTCACAAGAAAAGAATAAGGAAAAAATTTAATGGATGTTAGATTTTGACGACAAAATTGAGCAACAGAGATTAGTTTCTTCTTTATATATGGGGAACAAAGAACATTCTGTAACTTAAAAAGAATTATGAGATGAAGAAAGTGTAGTGTGACCAATGTGACTAATCGGAATGGTTTTACCATCTCCAACAACTATTTCATCAGTGCCATGGAATTATGTTGCGGCTTGTAGAGATTGTAAATTATTTGTGATATGGTGTGATGCTCCAGAGTCAACAATCCAATTGTTTGCGGGATTAGATGCATACGACATGTGGTTGGTGAAGTTGGCTTGAGCCTCAAGTACACTATGTGATTTTTAGCGATGTGCACAAATTTATCACATAATTGGGATTGGACTCTCTGTTGGTTGCTATAGTTGTTGGGGTGGAAGGAGTTGGAATTCTGGAAGGAGTTGGTGCGTTGGTTGGTTGAGGTGGTCTGAATGGGATCCCTGCGGTTGTTGCTTGGATTAGAGTTCCTGAATTTTGAGTGTGGGTTGGTTGATTTTTTATGAAACTGGGCAGTGATGATTGGGTTTTCAAGCTTTGGCTCCAAGTTTTTAATAAACATCTCATGCGCAAGCAATTTGTCATAGAGCTCTTCAAACGATATTGGGTTATCTCGATCCCTTATAGCAACAAATAGTCCTTTATACTCAGATCCTAGACCACTTAGGATTTTGATGACAAGTTCCTCATTTGAGAGAGGTGAGCCACTAGATGCAAGATCATCCGAAATAGATTTAATATCCTGCATGTACTCACTAATAGAGCGTGAATCTCGTTTGAGATTACCAAGAGTGTCACGCATGCTGAAGATACGTGACTGGGATTTGTTGGCATAAGTAGTTTGAAGAATTTCCCAAGCGTGTTTGGCAGTAGCAACATGTGCAATAAGAGAAGCGATTGTAGGATCGACTGAGGCCATGATAGCATTGCGGACAAGGCTATCATGTCTCTGCCAAAGCTTGAACGCGGGGTTGGGAAATTCATTGTTTGCTCCATCTTGGATATGCACAGATGGAGAGGGAAGTGACCCATCCACATACCCAAGAAGATCATAACCATAGAGAAGAGTTATGACTTGTGATTTTCAAGTGCAGTAGTTGGACCTCCCTTGCAATTTCAAGGGGAGTTGGGATGCCGGATTGAATGAAATTAATTGGGATGGCTGAGCAATGTTCCTATGACTGATTGTGACGGTGGGGAAAGTAGATGAGGTGGCTTAAGAGTGAGTCTGTGAATCACCCATTCTGAAAAAATAAGGGAGTAACTCGTGTGAGTTTTTAGAAGGCTCTTGATACTATAACGAATCTTAATATCTGTAGGAAAAGGATTGTTTCTATTGCCTAAACCATGAACAATTTATATAGTAAATTCAGAAGGGTTCAATCTAAATAGATAAGTACAACAAAGATATTCACAAGAGTTTGAGTGTGACTATAACTAGGACTCTAGCTAGTGTAGCTTGAGGTAAATGGATTACGTTGATGAGAAAGATCTGTTAGGATTTGGATTATCCTTATCACTTCTTACAGAGTGCTTTATCCCTAGAAGAAAATCTATTTTAGCATACTCTCTTTCTTTGGAAGTGATATGATACTAAATTTAGATACTAGCTACTAGAAGAGAAATTAAAGGCATTCTTGGTAAACCCCAAAATCTATTATCCAAATGATTTTGTTTAGGTTGAGCTTTCATTTTCTCTGAAATTTAGCGGTCTCTTAATTTTTTGTTGTTTAACTTTAAGAATGGCTTCTCTTTCTATTTTTCAGACGCTCTAGACTTTTTAAGCATGGTTGTTTAAGAATGGCTTCTCTTTAAGAATGGCTGTTTAATTTCCAGACGCTCCATGTTTTTCAATTTATGTTTAAGTTTACCATTCTTGATATACAAAAAGAAGTAAATTAAGTATTTTGAGAAGCACTATTTTAATTACACGGTGCTAGCAACCAACACTATATTTAAATGCAACATAGCCAGAATTTACAAGTAAATGTTAGTGAAGATATCAAGTAGCCCTTTCTGTAGAGTTGTAGTATTAGTATTCAGTAAGTTATAGTATTTGTTTTATTCTTGATAAAAGGGGTGTGATTGCTCTATGCTTGTTTGTATTCTTGATAGGCTCTTAAATTTATTGGACTCGTTTTTTGTAGGAAGTTCTTGTTCTTATGAATTGAGATGGACGTATTTTTGACGAAGTTTAATTCTTCTCAACCAAGTTCTACTCTCAGAAACAATTCCTCCCATCTTATAAATGAGTTTGATGAGAAATTACTCAATACCGATCCTGGAGAGAGAGTACCCATTATTAAATATAGTCCTAGAATACAGGATGAAGTAAGAAGACACTACATTCAAAATGGACCTTGCCAACCGGTTGATCATAAGTTTCCTAAAACTTTATTCGGGAATAAAATGCGTCAATTTAGTCTGGGTTGGTTTAATAATTTGTATTCTAGATGGTTGGAGTATAGTGTGAAGAAAGATGCCGCAATTTGTTTATGTTGTTATTTATTCAAAAATGATTATGTTCATGGAAGCACGGGTGTCTCTTTCACAAAAATGAGCTTTAAGGCTTGGAATAAAGCTTCGGAAAGACTTGCTTTACATGTGGTCAAGTAAATAGCCTCCACCACAAGTGTTTCAACAAGATGCTAGACTTATCAAATCAATCTCAATCAATTCAAGTTGCTTTTGATAAGCAATCCGAGAAACAAATAAATGAGCACTGAATTCATTTAAATGCATCAATCGATGTTGCAAGGTTCCTCTTGTACTTTGGATTGTCTTTTCGAGTTCATGATGAAAGTGATTCTTAAAAAAACAAAGGCCTTTTTCTAGGGCTTTTGGAATGGCTTGCAAAGAGGCTCCCTCAAGTGGATAGAGTCATATTGAACAAGCTCCAAAAATGATATGATGACTTCGCCAAAAATCCAAAAGGACATTGTGAGTACTTGTGCACAAGAAATCGTGAAAGCTATAATCAATGATTTAGATGGGGATATTAGATGAAAATCATTAATGGATGAAGTCTCTTTGTTTTGTGCTAAACATGATATTTTGGTGCCCAATATGGAAGAATTCTATATTCCTGGAAAGTCAAAGCGTAGGCCTTCTAGTGTTATTTATTCACATCACTTACGTGTTGAGCTTTTTTATACAGTGATTAATTTGCAACTTCAGGAGCTTAACAGTCGTTTTGATGTTGTTAGTGGTAACTTTTTTCTTGGTATGGCTAGCTTGAATCCGGCTAATTTGTTTGTTAATTTTGATAAGAAAAGAATAATGACATTAGCCAAGTATTATCCAGATGAGTTTGGTGAATTGAAGCTTCGAGATCTTAGTCACCAACTTGACACTTTCATATTGCACATGAAACATGATGACCCTAGATTCTCGAATTTGAAAGGAATTGGTGATTTGTCAAAAGCGTTGGTTGAAGCAAATCTTGTGGAGACATATTCACTTGTTTATTTACTTGTGAAGTTGACTCTAATTTTACCTGTCGCAACTGCAACGGTAGAAATAGCATTCTCATCCATGAAGTACCTCAAAGATGAATTACGTAGTAGTATTGGTGATGTATTTTTAAATGATTGCTTAGTTTGTTACTTTGAAAAAAGAAGTATTTGCAAATGTAAGCAATGATGCTATTATTGACCGTTTTCAGAGTATGAGAATGCTTCGAGTTCAAGTATAAGTGGATGATGTACTTTTGTTATATTAGTATCAATTAAAGATATTCTTTAACATTGAAGTTTGTACTTTGATTTAAGTTGTGCCTTCTTTAGTTCTCTTTTTGGGACAACAGTAGATTATTGTTACTATGTGTCACTAACTGCTATTAAGGCCACTAAGCTTGTTTTATATTTTAAAGTTTATTCCAGTTTAGTCCATGTGTGCGCAAAGATGTGCAGGAATTTTCTTATTTTAAAATTTGTGTTTGTAGGTCAATTGGGGAGTCTGATGAAGTTGAAGTTTGTGTTCGCGGGTCAATTGGGGAGTCTGATGAAATCAAAGCATAAGCTCTTCTTACTTTATTTTAGTTTTTTGCTTAGCAAGTTTATAATATATAGTGGATTATGTTGCTTATTTACTGGTGTATCCTGGAGTTTATATGTATTCTTTTACTGACTAATAAAGTTTTGGGTAATTCATTCTAATGATAATGGTGCCCCCGTCATACTCAAATCTTGGGTCATAATATCCAGCGAACCCAAATCATGGTTCAACCTTGGTCTTTAGATAGTGAGGCTGGTAACAAAATTGGACAGAACACTAATCACTGGTATTTGGTATATACAAGTATATGTACAAGTTGTTATACTCTAATAGTAGCAGTTGTTGTCGTTGTCATTCGCAACATCTTTACATAGCATGTTTCGAGCAGCTACAATAGATTCAGGTGGTTTCAAGTCTTTTTTTCAAGTGCGTCGCCTAGATGTTTTGCATTTCTGATGCAAATATGTCATCTAAAATCTGCAAGTTAAAAACAATACCATCAACCAAAATGTACAGAGTAAACAAATAATTAAGCGGTTATACTTTAACTAGTGGAAAAGTAGCATCAACTCGCTGATACTGTGACTCGTGATAATTTATACCAAGTTATGTTGTATTTATTCTCCTTTAATAACCTTTAAACATCCTGCAATTAGACATGTAAGAGTTACTTAAAGTGTACACAACATTAGGAAATGTGCAGTGGGTAAGACATTATTAGCTGCTTGATAAATAAAATAGTTGCTAACCTTCCCCATGCGATCCCAGTAACCTCGGCATATGATAATGAAAACTTGTGTCTCGGATACCATATGAAGTTGCGTGATGGTATTTTGCAGCAGATCCTACAGCGGCTGGATTCTACTTCTTAAGTTCGATTCCTGTGTACCTTCCTTAGCGTCTCAGATTATCTTCTTCAGTTTAGTCGAACACTCTGCAATATACAGAAGCAGTATGTTCAGAAGTTGTATACGGATGAAAAATCTCCTTGACATCAATTCCACCTTTGACAGGACTACGAAAGCATTTTCACCTTTGTAAATAGCATACACAGGACAAGTAGAACAATTTATAAATTGAACTAACGGACATGCATTACCTGATTTTCCAGTTACTAAAATCCCTCTGAAGATCAGCTATCGCGACAATGAGTTCTGCCAAAAGAGATGAGGGACCAGTGGGAGGACATGCAACAAGAAATGCACATAATCTGCTATGTAGTTCCAGGGAGTATATGGGTGAAGAAAGTTTTGGGAGGTCTAGGAAACTACAGAAAATTAACCCATAGATAGCTGTGATTTCTTAAGAATAGACAAACAACCAGATTTACAACAACATATTCAGTGTAATCCCACAAGTGAGGTCTGTTATGGACAGATTCACCTACCCCTTTGGAGGATCGTAATCCTCCTCAGTTATTTTATCAACAACACCGAAGCACCTCGGTTTACTCTCGACCACCTGCTTTGTCTCTACAGTCCCCGAGTTTTTTGAGGGGGTTGATTAAGCTCGTCCGCCGAGCAAGCAAAGCTCAGTTCTCGAGCATCGATTAAGATCGAGATCGGAGTTCGCAGGTGAGGTTCATTCGGATGAAGACCGAAGATCTCGTACCCCTCAAATTTTTACCGTTCCCTGAAAGGTGGAACTTAGCCCGTAAGTCTTCTTCCTTCTCTTAGTATTTTGGTGTTTTCTTCGTTCCTTTTCTAATTGCCCGTGCCTATTGTTGTGCAATGGTCGCCAGAGTTCCCAATGCAGTCCCCCGCTTCAAGGAGGGGATCGAGAGGATCTGCAAACAAATGTCATCCTTTGAGCGCGAATGGCGTAGTCTTTCAAAGGGCAGGCAGGAGGCATGTTCCTGTAGTGAGTCTTCTTCCCGAATAATTACGTTTACGTATTTAACTTTTATTTTTGCTAAGCCCTTTT